TCGACATCGCCGCGCAGAGGATTTCTTGGTGATTGAGGGAGAAGTGAGTGCGCATGATTTGGAATTGAGGGCGATTAGAGTTTGCCAAGGAAGAAAGGAGCTCGAGCGGAGCGGAAGTAGAATGAGCGGGCAGGCGAACTCCAAGAACGCAATGACGAGACCGGGCCGATTGCGGATGCTGCCGCTCCGTCTACCACAGAATGGGCTACGCGCTTTCGAGGAGCGCCTGATAGCAAGAAAGTTCGATTTCTTGCTATGGGGATGGAACTACATCTGTGCGGATATGGTGCGCGAGTGGCTAGAGCCACAGGGGCCACCTTCGCGCGGATTGCGTCCGCATGTTGATCGGTGGACAGTCCAAGATTGGGCGCAGGCGTTGGGGAGATGTGCCGGCATGCCAGGGCACCTCCTCTTCGATAGTGAGAGCGTCAAGGTGACCAAGCAGGAAGAGGCACAATTCGTGGAGCTGATCAAGAACGGGAGGTCTACCAAGAATGGGTACAGGACCCGCGATTACAAGGATCGATTCCGCCGGACTTTGTCCGCGGCGCTGCTGCAATTACTGCAGCCACACCGCGCCTGCTACATCACATTGTGGCAGGTCTCTTTTGTGGAGTGCATCATCGAGGGAACTCCAATTCACTGGGCGAGCATCCTGCACAGGGTGATGCGACAGCACGCTTTTGAGGAGAAGGGGGGAACTCTAAACCATCTCTCTCCTTTCCTCATCAATTTTTATCGACAGCGAAATTGTTTGACCGCGGCGGAGCTTGCGCGTTTTTCGCCGTTGTCCGTCGACCATCCCGGGAAGTATGTGCGGGAGAATGAGGTCGACACTGATGCGGAGGAGTCACCGACTTCTACTCCGTCAAGGCGGAGGGACGAAGGGCGGAACACTCCTGCAGCACGAGCGCCGCGGAAGCGGCGATGGAGAGAGGAGTCCGAAGAAGAGCAGCATCAAGAACCCTCTGCTCCCATTCGACCGCGGCCGTTGTACGAGTCATACAGCCGGCCAAAGCAGAAGGCGCGCAGGCTGGTATTACCAGCCAACAGCGAGGACACGGCGACGATTGCGACGGAGAAAGGAAGTGCGTTGCCGGAGAGGAACGAGGGAGCGCGGACGTCCGCAGGAGCAACGGACAGCGCTGCAGCCTCGACGGACGGGAGGCCGCCTACGGGCCAAGGGCCTCCGGAGTTACCACGTGCGTTGCGGACAGGTGTTCCGTTTGCGCACAAGCGAGACTCTGCGGATGGACGAGCCTCCGCGGACAGACGACCACAAGCGGACGTGGACCTACGCCTACGCGTGGGAAGAAGCAGTCCGCCTGTGCGCAGGTCACCTCCACACGTGCCGCCTGTGCACAGGCAGGAATCACCCCCATTCCAGCGTAGCAAGGGGAAGGAGCCGGCGGAGGATCCGCCTACGAGACACCGGCCTTCGGGGCCAGACCCTCCGGCGCACAACGCGCTCCTTCGGCGCCAGGGCCTTCGAGCCGAGGAAATGCGAGCAGGGAGCGTGCGGAGGCCGCACCATCGGCGGGTAATCCGCCGGTAGATGCGCCTTCGGCGGTAGGGCCTCAGGGCCAAGGGACATCGAGCGAGCGGCCCCCGGCCATGTCGCCTTTGGCGATGGACGTCCGCGGCGCTGCGCCTGTGGCGGACAAGGCGCCGGCATTTGCGCCTGCGCACAGGCCAAGCACAGCCCCCGCGGACCGATCGAGGGAGAAGCAACTGACAGAGGAGCGGACTGACTGTCCGCGGGACGAGATTTCGGTGCGCAATGCGCAATCAAACCCCGCGCAGCCACCCTCCGCTCGATCGCCTTCGGCGGCGGACGTCGGCGGCAGAGAGGATACGGTAGAAGACCGACAAGCGGGCGACGGAGATGTAGCACGGGCACATTCGCCTACCACCTTAGACATTTTGGCGAAGAGCAGCGAGGCTGCAGCGGTGCCTTCGCAGGCAGCACACGTCGACGACGTGCAGCCCCACTCGGGTCAGTCGTCGACGCAATCAATGGCGACTGAAATTCTCCACTCGGATGATGACGACGGAGGCTCCACCGAAGAAATGTCGGGAGCAGGGGATACCGAGGAGGAGGAGGAGGAAATTGTTGGAGCGCCGGCAGCGGCGCTCTCTGAGCAGGTGATTCCGTTGCTGAGGTACTTGGATCGCAAAATTGATAAATACGCCGATCCACTTCAGCCGGGATCTTACATCGAATTAGTGCGAAGGCGGACTCGCACTAAAGTCCACACTAGCAAGCTACTAGCTAGGGTGGACCAGGAGTTGAGGGAATTGAAGGAGAAGCATGAATGCTTGTGGGGTCAGTATAACCTCAATTAGAAATTCTACAAGTACTCCGAAAAGGTGAGGGATGGGAAACTGGAAGAGCTCACCAAGGAGCAGGTGAAGGTCACGGAAGCACTGATTTCTGAGCAGACCCAGAATCAGATTCTGTCAGAAGAGCTCGTGCGACAGACGCGGTTGTTAGAGCAGTGTCAGCTCGCACGGCAGCAGATGAGGATTTAATCCGCAGGCTACAGTAAGAGTGTGGCGAATTGAGAGCGCAGCGTGCTGAGGCCGAATCGCAATTAGTGGTAATTGAAGAGGATCGTAGGCGAGAGGCAGATCGCACGAAGGAGGAGACGGCGAGGCGTGTCGCCCACTGTCTCAAGGGCTACGCCCACTGGGAAGTGGCGGCGCAGGAGAAACTCACACTTCGTGAGTTTGAACTTCGCGCAGCCGGGTTGTTGACAGGCGACAGCAGGAGTCGGCGGAAGGTAGCAAAGAAGCTCGAAGCTTTTCTGTCGAAGGCGAGGGATACCATGTCCACTCTCGAAGTGGAGGTGTCCGCGGCGTTGCAGCGGTTGGGACTGCGCAGTCGAGCGGAAGACTGGCAGGGTAGGGAGTTAGTGCGCGGCAGTCCGTCGCGCAGGAGACGTAGCACAGGTTCCGCGGAGTGTAGTGTAGCGTGGTTCCGTGCAGGCGTGTAGCGTAGTACAGTGTAGTGCTAGTTAGGACTTAGAAGGTATAAAATAGTTCCAGGCGTTTTGCCTGGGGTTCTTTGCCAAACTCAGAAGTGCAGATCAAGAACCCATTTTCTCTGCGTGTTTGTGTCCTTACGTTCTGTCACCACGCATGAGGAGTTACAACTTAGCATTCCGCTCTCGAGAGACTTTCCCCCCCCTGAAATCTTGAGTAGAGGTCCTAACGGATCTCTGGGTTGTGTTTCTGTAGTTTCAGGTGTGTGTGTGTGTGTGTGTGTGTTACGCTGCACTGTGCGACCTCCGAGTGCGCTCCGAGTGGACACTTGCAGTATTTCTCGGAGTGACAGTCGCCTGAGAATTCAAACTCATCAATAGTCTGTTAAACGTGACACTTTGTACCCTGTGTGTTCCTCTGTCCTTGTGGGTTCGACCTTTCTACCACTATATTGCAGTTTTAGCCTTTAGTGGGTTATTACAGTGGGACTGAAATCGAAGGTGGGAACTGAGGGTGTGAGACTGAAATCTAATACTCGAAATTGTGGGTGGAATCTGATAGGAGATTGAGGTCCCTCAGGGCGAGGGTGTTGAAAGCGTGGAGTCGCTGAGAGTGTAGCCGGAGGGCTGAGCGGAAGAGTGTGTGCGACGGCCAAGAGGATCGCTGGGCCGAGACTGAGTTGATCACTAAGAAGAAGAATCGAGCAAGTGTTGAGAGTAGAATCGTGTTCCCTGGGTGTGAGGGTTGCTGTTAGGAAGGGTGTCACCTAGTGCTGCCAGTGTGTCACCTGACTGTGTCCGAGGCAGGGTGTCTAAGATGTGGCACTCATTCTAGGATAAGCCACAGCGGCTGTAGTATTGAGAAAGTCACCCATAGTTGGGTTAGATCTTTATGTGACGAAGAGCTTGTCTGCTGCTCTTTTGAAAATAGCAGACATCAAGTTGTTAGTGTCAGTTCTGGACAATTTGTCTGTGGCAAAACGAGTATTCATGATCTCATTGTCTTGAATGCATTTTGACCACATGGTTTGAGATCAAAGAAGTTAGATTATGGGAGCTCGAACCCCCACCTAGACCACAAACGCTGAAAGGTGGGGAGTTTAGGCTCACACCTATATGTACATATTATACATCCAATACACTTCAAATATATTACTTTTTCCAAAAATAAAAAAAATTGTACACCACAGAGGCCAAACATTGCATTTGTATATGAGTATCCACACACATATTCAAGCTCAGTCCCCAACTCAATAGTTCCACTGGGCTTGAACAGAATGGAAGTCTTCGTTCTTAGATGATAGAAGTTTCAATTCTAATTTCAAGATTTTTATGTGAATAGAACGATTGCTATTATCTGCTCGACGTTGTATGCGCATGAGAAATCAGAGTCGTCTAGTATTGTTAATTTGTATTAGACGTACATTTCATTTCTAAGCCAGAATATAATCCATGGAATTTGATTGTTCAGATTCAATGTCTTCAATCACTTTTCACTTGAGTCACATCAATATTTTACTTTCAAACTGGAACTGACCGTGTTGTTTGCTTTAGAAGATTTATCTACTGAGCTTAAAAATATTCTTAAATTCTGACAAATGATCTTATATGTATTAGGTCTAAACAGGTATGGCTCGATGAATGCACTACATCTGACACATAACATAGAGACTATATTGGATATTGTAAGAAAATCTCCTCTGTTGCTGGATTGAGGCGAAATGGACGTAGAAAAAACGATTTGAGAGAAATCTCAAATAAAACTATCATTCCCTATTTCAAGTGATCCATGAATCGATCAGTTGCATAATTGTGTATGTGACACAAGTTTATTTGCAAGATCTCATTGTCATCACATTGGCCTTCCAATGAAGAATTACAATCCTTCATGATGTCCAATCAAAGTTCACTTTGATAAAATGTCAAACGTTATTATAAACAAATACAATATTCAGGTGTATACATACAATATACAAGGTGTATCTGTATTTGTTGATATACAATATATTATAAAACCTGAACATACACACTCCAATCTCTAGCTTATATAATTCTTTTACCTAGTGTAATGGGTGCATATGGTGAGACTGGAGTAGAAGGTGGGCTGCCCGCAGTGAGATGACTCCTTGGATAACGCAATTATCATGGGTTATATCTTCTCGTCCCAGTTATACCTATGGGTTTTCTGTGACGAGGACTTCAATAAGGCAACTGACGGTTCAAAAGGAAGGATCTCTTGACAAAGAGTCCAAAAGAAAGCTGGAGCTGCACAGACGCTATTGAGGCCAGTACAGTTGATTTTCACGAGAAGTTCATCAGAACACAAATCTCACGGTATTACGCGTTCTCGCAGTAGTACTGCCTCATCGACAGTTATGATTTCCAGCTTCAAATATTGGTCAAATGTGTTATCACATTGTGAGAATAATACAAATACACCTTGTATCTTTATATTACAGAGCGTTGATTAGATCAGACTTGAACGGATCTCCGTACCAGCTTCTTACTTCCATCATCTATGTTCGAATCAGACTTGAACGGATCTCCGTACCAGCTTCTTACTTCCATCATCTATGTTCGAATCATCTGCGGAGTCTGATCTGATCTTCACTTGGTATTCAGAAGCTTCATCAGAGTTTGCCTTTACAGTCGACTCTGTTTGATCGTCCTCTCTCAAATTTTTATAAGTGTAAAAGTGTGCATACAGAACGAAAACACAAAGATTGACGAACATTATGACAGTGAGTAACCAGTAGTAGTTGGCCAAGCCTCCAGTATTGAACCCACTCTTCAGCCAGCTTTTGGCGCCGCCATCACCAGAGAACCGTTCGGTTGCATTGACAATACCAATCGTGATAAATCGACCAAGTGCCTGACAACCAAACGTCAGAGCCATGGAAAGACTGACCATATTTTCGGGAAATTCTTGATGGTAGAGCTCCAGCATGGCAGTTCCCAGTAAAGGGTGGCTGAAACCCATCAATATAAGCTCGGGGAGCACCCATGCGGCGCTCATCGGGATTAGTCCACGCTTCACCTGCAGGTCGGTGATATTATGGGCTCGAATCACGCTCACCCTCCTCATCTCGACCAAAGCAGAGGCGCCCATCGTTGCTGCCGCGAAGAACAAGCCCAGGCCCGTTCTGACCTGAGGCGACAAGCCTCGAGGGTGGCCGGTCCATTTCTTCAGAGGACGGAGGAGGACGTACTCGTAGACCGCGATCCACAAGAGAGAGGAGACAATGCTCACGGTCATAACGGTAGCCGGAGGAAAAGTGAAGCTCCCCCAGTGGCGATCCATTCCGGACACTTGTTGCACGCCGAACGTCATGTTCTGAGCTGCCGCAACGTATAAGAAGCAGGAACACAGCCAGTTCGGAAACAACAGAAGCACCACCTTCAGAACTTCGACTTGCGTCACGGTGCACAGCTTCCACTCGCGCATCAGTTGCTGTTTCTGATCGGAACTAAGACGTTTCGCATCATCGGGCAGGACCGCAGCCTTGTCCAGAAACCTGTTCCACAAGTGACAACCTCAGAATGAATGAGCTCTGCAAGTCCACATGAGCTCCAGAAGCCAACAGCTTTTCCTGAGCATCGACAGCTCTGCGTAACGACCAGCATTATACAGCAGCGGCGATGTTTTTCCCGGGGATAGGCTCGGAGTAGTTTCTGATAGCTTCATACGCTCATGTCTCCGTCTAATTCTGAGGAAAAGCGATTGAACATGTTTGTGCATGGGAATGAGTAGAGAGTCGCAGAGGGAGGGCCGTGACCAGCAATGGCTGTCGTTGAAGGCAGTCTGAGAGGATTGCAATCGAACTTTGAACCATGGTGAACAATCTCCTTGACCTTCGGATCTAGACGGAGCGCAAGAAATGTGATAAGGGCAGGGCAGGGAGTCTTACTTCAGTCCCTCGCTGTGAGTTATCTTACGGATGCGATTGAGCTGTATATCTGACGTCTCTCCTTCGAGTTCGTACAAATTAGAACCATCTGCTGGTAAAGGCTTGCGCCAGTTCCTCGTGGCGGCAACAATCACCTTGGCCAAAATTGTCAGCGGACTGCCCACGGGCTTTTGGTGTCTGCGTCAGTACGGTACGGATGGTGTTATCGGACAAGCCGTCCTAACTTCAAAACCTGAAGACTCTATCCTATGAGATACTTAGTTCATACTATGTTTTAGCTAGAGATTCACATGCAATTGCGGGAGTGTTTCATCTTATCATTATCTGTCCCTGCATATGACTAGCATGAAGCTCTTGCGAGGTTTCTCCTCTAGTCCATTTATTCTTTCTGGCTCTACGCTGTTGAACCTGACTCTGCAGGTATCGACTGATTTTCATTCTAATCTGACAGTCGTTACATAAGGATGATTTTGCTAATTAACACTGAGATCCGAAGAAATTTTACAAATGCATTTCCTGGATCAGTGCAAAGACCTCATATTAGGCATGTGGAAAAAAAAATCAGATTCCTGTTTCCATAGCTTAGCATCCATCATACATATTGAAATCCTAACGTCTTTTCAGACTGACAACGTTGACAAGTTTCATCACGGTATGGAGGCCGTAGTCGTGATGGAAAGGTGTACCTCAAATAGCGAATGCCAAAGAGGGAGATGATGATGCCTGCATAAAAAGTCCCTGCCATTGTGGAATATCCTTCCTTGAAGCCGACGTCTGTCTGAAGCCAGAAGAAGACAGTGGTGGCCAGCAAAAGGGAAGCTTCAAACACTGCATAGTAGTAGGAGAAAAATAGAATTCCTTTCTCTTTCTCCACGGGATCCGTGTAGTCAAATTGCTGCCTCCCCAAGGACAGCACTGTAGGCTTGATTCCTGCAGCGCCCAAACCTGTAATAAACAGTCCTGCCATGAACACGCTCTGGATGTGCTGACTGGCAGGCGGGCATACGGCCTCGTCGCATTGGGGAGGTATCAGATTTGGTAGCGATACAGCGAGCACCAAACCAATAAGGCCCTGTGTAAATTCAAAGGAGTGGTAACATTAGTGTTAATCAATCAGAACCTCAAGCATTCATTGTTCCTGAAGCAATGACATATGCAAAGGTTGGTTTCCTTGGAACTGGATCTTACCCCACCATAGACGACGCACGATGCTGCGATGACCCAAAAAGGTAGGATGTAGGCATCAGCAATAAATCCGAAGATTATGGTAGCCACCATCGTTGAGCCGGCAATATAGTTGGTGAGGTTCGCAGCAGTGGCCACGTCAAGGTGCAAGATATTGACTGTGTACGTGATGAGGTTCCCTTGTAGAGCAAGCAAAACTAGGGAGTTTACGAATACGATAACTGAGACAAAAACCAACATTGCGATTTGGAGAGGACATGAGTTACGAGAAACCTCAAGTTATCAGGTTTTTTGCAACCAGATATCCACCACAGTTGGCAGCAAGGTATTTTCCGCAAACATGAATACCACAGTATAATTTTCTCAGCTATATTTCATAAATCTCAATACATGTAAAATGTCGCTGAGGATGGAGCCTTGTGGCTCCATGTCACAAGCAGATGGGACTTTGACCGGGTTATTGTTGCATGAGCAACAGGCTTGTCGCCTATGTACTGCACGCACAAATTTGACTTCTTCAAGCCGTCCAGAAGATATGTGAAAAGAATCTATCAGTTCTAACAATCTTTCTTGAAACAAAGGTTGCGTTCAATTCACAACCTTATGAGAAGATTTGAACTTGGTGAATCATACAACACGGTAATATCTAGGCGTAAATCTACTGTGTTATTCAGTGTAGGCACGCAGTACAGGCTTCAACTAGACGGATTGATAGCGGAAATTTTTGTTGCAACCGAAGAATGACGAAATTTAATACAGGCTGGCATATTCCGGAGAAAACCGATCTTATTTAGAACCAGATGTCTCTGAAATTTAAGATTGCAGTCGAAATCTGATCAACTGAAAGCGTTTGGAGATAGGAGCTGAAATAGTCACCATAGAGGAATGAAGCGGCTCGCCATGTCCCCGACTTAGACTTATCTGATGGCTTTCCTCTCAAACTGATAGATCCATCTCCCACTCTTCTCTCCGGAGGTAACTCGGCTTCTTCAGCTTTGATTTGCATAGATCCCATGTCAGATGTACGAGATACTTAATGGATGTGAAGCTTTGATGTACTCTGTTGTGGACTGACTTTGATCTTCGTGATCAGTATCTGCTCCTGGTCTTCGAAGTTGCTGAGGTTGCAACTGAAGGTGCATAAACAACAGCGTTTTGACTGCTGATAGTGGCCACACTGAGCATGTTTCTGTCCGTATTCCTGCACGAGGAGATTTCTGTAATCGTGCACTCATTTTCTTCAAAAGACTTGTATTACAGAAGGTAATGTGATAATGGCTACAGTACAGATAAAATGTCAGTGGTTGATAACTTCGCGCTGATGGAAACGAGAGAGCAGCAAATCAGTAACCATATACGACATCATCTATTATACTGATATCAAATTGAGATGCTTCTGAAACTCATGCAAACCACATCAAGTGTTCTAGAGGAAGCAAAACTTCTTATGCTAAATGTCTGTTCTGTACTCAACCACGAAATTCTCGTTGTCGACTACGCTGCTCTACGACGATAAATTTATGTTTCAGAGATGGTATGAGATGACAAACTTCTCCCATAAGCTATCAAACTATGAGCTACCGCGTTGCTCGCACATGTAGTAATACTAGTATTAATTCAGACGCAGGTTGATATGTCTCCGGTGTATCGACTCTCACATACTGCCTGGTACTATGCTGAGAGATCAAGAGCTCGGGAACAAAAGAAGTACCTCGAAGTGACTCTCAATCCAGTGTCAGATGTATGCTTCCTGTCGCGGGTGATTGAACGGTCAAGTCCTCCGTAGTTTCGCTAAGTATATATGAGGACGCAATGATGGCAAGAGTTGATAATAAATCTCTCTTGGTCTACTAAGAGACAGTGAACGAAACTAGTCTGATGCGCACCAGTGGTCTGGAAGCCAAACGATTGGACAAACTCATAATTCTTAATCACTTATATCACGTGTGGCAAGATGACAGTGCTAGATGGCGACATGTGAAAACACTTTAATATAATCAGTACTATAATACCTTTGATACTCCATTGAACGTGTGATTTCTTCCAGTTAACTCAGATTCTTACATTTTTCAAGAAATAAAAACCCGACCTGAATACACGAAATAAGAGGAAAAAAATTCACATCTTTGAAATCAATAAAGAATTACGGGAATTTTTGTCAATTCTATAACATATCATTACTTGTTTCATATTGTTGAGATTATCTAAAGTATGAATGTGAAATTTTAACCCTTTATGTAATAGAGAATCAATCTTTACTTGAAATAATGAAATTTCACAGATTCATGTGTCTATTTTTCAAGTCTTTTTTTTTCATTTTGTGAAACAAAATTCAAATCTTGATATTTAGATAAGATGCGTTTATAGAAGAGTAGTGAAATTTGGTTATCACATAGACCCTTAAAAAAATTCTCGTGGACTTCCAAATTTTCTGGATTTGCGATCCTATTCTCAGAAAAAACCCAATAACCGATATACTGCAGATATATATTTTTCATCGCATTATCTCCAACTGATCAAAAGTCACATGTGGTCCCACGCATCCGGAAACTGTCCTCCAGAACATTATCTTAAGAACCGTGGCACGGAACCCTTGTCATCAATCGGTTTCGATGGAATAGTCAATAGGATAGAGACTCTTCTTCACATTATTGAAGTCCGGCAGAGAACAGATCTTGCCAGAAATATTATCATACACTACAGAATGTAATGCAAGTGAAATGATCAAAATCAGAATGACGAGAAATCTATTACACTAGTTCAGGGCTTAGTCGCCTTGAAATAACAAGCATAGTCTCGAATTTCCAGATGTTTCACTTAGACTTTTCAGTGCTAAGCATAATTTGGTCCCAGAAGCATCACTATGCGAGTACTCAACATGTTGCGTTTGCCGAGATTTTTCATGGGACTCTCGTGTATTGAATACCTGGTACAAACAGCAAGTGCCAGAAGATTCAGGAAGCAAAATGGATGGGAAAACATACTAAGACAAAATTCACTAACACCACAATAAAGAGTCTTCCAGATTGACTGAATGATTAGTCTTCTAGATTAAATGAAAAGGTTCTTACACACAAAAAATTCGGACTATGTCAATTTACTTCTATGAGAAAAGATAAGAAACTCTTTGAAATCCATTGTTGTATCAATATATTATCAAATTGATATCCATAATCAAAATTTCGTTTCCATTTGAACTCAACAAGTTTATAGATGGAAGCTTAGACTTACCACCACACACAAAAAAAAAGATTGGGATAAAACCTTTTTATGTCTAAGTGATCCGAATGAGTTTGACGGTCACCATCCTTTATCCTAAATTATGAAATTGCTCTTGTATACGATCTTCCTACTTCATTGAAGTAGGAAGAATTTCTTCTTCAATTTATAAGTTGAAAGCTTTCCAATGGTGATGCCTTAGGCTGAATTGATCAGAAATGGCAACTAAACACTATATTAAAACATATATATATTAATCATTGCTTATATTCTTTCTTCTAATTTTCTTTACTCTTTTCATGATCATTCTATAAATTCATGTAATTCCAGGACACTAAAAAGGAATCGTGTTGATGACCACTCGATCTTTGTTTTTAGTGCGAAGTAGGAAGAATTTCTTCTTCAATTTATAAGTTGAAAGCTTTCCAATGGTGATGCCTTAGGCTGAATTGATCAGAAATGGCAACTAAACACTATATTAAAACATATATATATTAATCATTGCTTATATTCTTTCTTCTAATTTTCTTTACTCTTTTCTTGATCATTCTATAAATTCATGTAATTCCAGGACACTAAAAAGGAATCGTGTTGATGACCACTCGATCTTTGTTTTTAGTGCGAAGTAGGAAGAACTTCTTCTTCAATTTATAAGTTGAAAGCTTTCCAATGGTGATGCCTTAGGCTGAATTGATCAGAAACGGCAACTAAACACTATATTAAAACATGTATATATTAATCATTGCTTATATTCTTTCTTCTAATTTTCTTTACTCTTTTCTTGATCATTCTATAAATTCATGTGATTCCAGGACACTAAAAAGGAATCGTGTTGATGACCACTCGATCTTTGTTTTTAGTGCGAGGTTGCGAGTTCACAAATTCTAGCGTAACGTCACCAAATGACAACGAAGGTAGTAACCTTTTAAATAAGATCCTTTTCTTACTATATTACAGAAAGACTTTTGTTTTGGTCCAACAAATCTAAAGTCAATACTAGGAATATCTCGACCAAATAAAACGATCATACTTTTCATGGTAGAGAATAAGCTTAAAATGGGATATCAGATTTACAAATATTTACCTTAGATTTGAACTGGTCTTCCATCGTGATCGAGTACGTACGAGTACGTACGTAAGCTGTGAGTTAAACTTTTTGAAGAATCAAAGGGCACAGTACTGTACGAGATTCAGATCAGTAATATTCCTAGACATGCACTTTTGTACACAACCATCAGTAACTACCTTCTACTGACCTTTAATCTATCAGTATCTGTCAGTAGACAGTATTCCAGAGAGTTCATGCCCTTCCACTTGCGAACGGCAGAGCTGCACATTACCTCCACTCTCGGTCGCAAAGAGCTATAATATATGTCCTCCATATCTCGACAAGGGTAGTCATGGGTGTGAACATCGATAGAGCCAGGAGTTCATATGAGATTTTCATCACACATTAGTGGCTGTGAAGAACTCCATACCTCCTCCAACAGGTGAGAACTATGAATATTATTTTTGTCGGTTGGTAAGTGTCAAGTTCCTCTTTCTTCATTTCAGTTTTGGAAAATCTCGACATTAACGAAGATCATGCACATGGCACATAGACAAACGCAGCTTTCTGCAGCTCTTTTGTTTACTTCCCAAACTTCAGGGTTACATTTTGATATTCATGTGTCGCAATAAGTCAGATAGAGCCGGATTCTGTTTCGTTCAGATCCAAAGTACTATAATTCCTGTATACGTTTACACTTCTGCTGTAGCCTTCCGTTAGAATTTACCATCTTTGTGTTTGTTGAATCAGCTCAAGAATGATCCAACTTCTTTACATCTGATATTGAATCAACCTTCAAAGTGAACGATCGAGTCTGGTCAATCGAGACATTTGTCATCAGTTCAGATAGAGCTTTGGAAACTTAGTGAAGACTTTCTATCCCCTCTGAGTTCTAGGGTTGTATCATTGATCATCCGGAACATCAACCACATTCGTTGGAGTTTATGGAATAGAATTACAATAATATCGCTGTATCTGGTAGATTGATCTCTCCGACAAGCCTTGAACCCGCATGTCGAGTCGAGTTCTCATCAAGAAAGCGAATACAGACATAAATCTCCACGTGTTGATCACATGGAGACAATAGGAAAACACACGTTGTACCGCCAATGATAATATATTGCTACTTTAGCGAGCTTCATAATACTAAAGTTGGTCAAAAATATTAATATAAAGTTAACTTATATCCACATTTCCTGCACTGAGACACGCCATCTGCTGACTTTGACAGTTTCCAAGGAAGTCGATCTTTTCTTGTATTTGGATGCCCGCGTTTGAAAGGAATAGTGTTGCACGTGTTGCAAGTTCTCTACTTTAGATCTCTTTTATAACAAAACTAAGTCCCCACCGAAGAGTCTTTCACACGAGTCTTCGTTGCACAAAAATTCAAGTTGACTTTGACATCGTAGAAGCCATCTATGTATGTTGTCAAGAGTCTAATGCCAGGTTAGATACTCCACAAAGATAATCACAAGTAGCAGCAGTGCATTTGGCTTAGAGGAGGTAAAAAAATTCGAGGGTGGCAGAAGCTCGACCCGATTTTGACGCATAACATGCTTCGTGGAATACAGTTGACCGTACTCACTCTCATAAGGTTCACAATGATACACTATATGACTAATATGGAGTCCCGGAACCAACTGTATTCACTGTAGCTCACCGTCCTAGATAGAAAGATGTTTGTCAGTCGGTAAAAAGTCCTACTTTTCCAAGCACATTTCCATCTTTTCACGATAGTATATCCAGTTCGTGGAGGTAGCTAAACTTGTAGGTATGACCATTGTCTTTGACAATTTTCTGTCGTCATTTTTTCATTTTTCACAGGAATCACCTAGATATGTTAGCTGCTAGTGTAGACTTCTACCATTGGGTACTAGCCAAAAATTGATTCCTGTGAGATTCATCACTTTATGGGGTCTTCCCGAACTTTGCTGCATGATGTAGACTTGTACCAGAACATAAAGAACATGAGTATGGATGACTCCCCATCGATTCCATGCTTTCATCGAGATAGAGAAATTGTGGTTCTTAGTAACAGGAGCTTGATTTCCTTGTGCGTGGGGATGTTTGTCCGATTATATACATCTGTGATTAGATCACAGTACCCCTTCCACTGATTGCTATCGTTCTTTGTTTTTCCACAATGTCTTTGGGTGCCATCTGCGAACAGCATCGGCAATGCTCAAGTATGAATCTTCATGTGAATCAGAGTCCACTACATCCGGCATTGGCTTTGGGAGAGCGGAAAAAGTAGAAAGTGAAACCCAAGATGAAGACGCGGCACAGAATCTACCACAATGTGATCCGGCAATTCCTGGATATGCTGGTCCTTACGATTTCTCATTCAGATCTGGACTGTCCAACATCCCAACTGGTTCTGGAGAGGCCAGCAAATCGGTACCAGCTACAGATGATGAGAAGCAAGATGGAGAGGCACCACGACGTCGGCTGGAAATAGTCCTAGCGGATCCTCTTCGTGTAGAAGATGGGGAGGTTGGACCCGATTTAAAGCTCCAGCAGACCGGAACATCTTCAACTACCAGTAGTACACTTTCACTCGATTGTCCGTCTTGCGAAAGGAAGATTCCAAAGTATGGAGCGCTGAACAAACTGACTTGTGTTTGTGGGCATTCTCTATGCTATATCTGCTGTGAGAGTGTCCCATATGGATCTAACCGGGCTGCCTATGAGCATTTTTGCCTCCACGAGAGATACAATTCGGACAGACCGTGTAGACAATGCACATCTTGTCATCTGTACGATGTCTATGAGCGTGAGGGGGATATCAAGCACGCGAGAAGCACTAAAAGAGAGAATGTGCGAATAATGCCCGGAGCGGAGGACCGGGAAAAATCTCAAGGTGTTTCGTCGGTGGGATCGAAGAGTGGAAAAGTAAATATCTATGCAAGAGTTACACAAAATACCTCCACCACAAGACACGACAGGTGGGTTGCTCGACAGCTGCAGAGAGTGGCACTGGCCAGAGGGAGCACTTCGTCATTCAAGGATGAGCTTACTACTACTCAACCAGGAGTCCATCTAAATAAGATGATCATTGATTTAGTGGACATGGAGGAGGATATTTGTCAGGAAAGTGATGCTCCAGGTGGAGGTGCAGAGAGTTTAAGCCAGGACAGAAATCTGAGTCTGAGTTTGTGTAGCATTGATGAGCAAATGCAGCAGATAGTTTTCTCGTCTGATCATGAAGCAGCCTCTGATCATAACTCACCGTTGCACGAGAATTTGATAGAGCTTGGAGAAGCTGAAGAGCTTGAAGTAGCTCAAGTGGAAAACGAGATTATTGAATTTGAGCTGGGACGTATCTCAGACAGTGATGACGAGGATGACGCAATTTCCGATGTGGAAAGGGAGCAGGGACTGCAGTCTGGAGAGCAGACGCAAATCTTCAAGATCTTCAATCAAGAACAGATTGATCTGAATAGAAATGGCCCTGACAATGATGTTCATCATGCAGGAACAAGCGTGGAGCTTCATGGACGAAAATATTACGATCCGACAAGAGGTGAATGTGAAAATCAAATAAATTACACTTCTCTTGCAACAAGCCCTGTCCCAGATACAGGTGAGGACAAAAACGTCAGTAGCAACAATGAGCTTGGTGATAAGAGTAGCTGCAATTTAGAATCTCGGATAGCACAGGTCACTTCAAGGATACCTCAAACCAGATCTCGGAAGAGGAAAGAAGCTACGATCATGAAGGAAGAATGAGATTTCCTATGAGCCCAACTTAACCCCATCATAATGTTCCACTAAGATACAAAAAAATTGCAGCAGAAAATCAAAACTAAGCTGTTGACCAAAATCAAATAACCTTATTAATACTTCCGATTTCGTGCGAGCTGAGCACTTGTATGAGCGAGAAGTGACTAACATGGACTGGATTCAAAGGTCGAAGTTGTATCTTGAAGAGTCCAAGAAAAATTTGTTTCAAGAGTTCATGATAATTACGTGTGTATTGCATTCCGCCATTCTTCTTAAATTCTGATGCATCAAGTTTCTTGAGATTCTTCATGAATGACTTGATTTCTTTTTAAAAACTTTCAACATGTAGTTTTGAACCTTATCGGACAGCATGATGCATAATATCTTCCAACTCGTTAAAATAATAAAAATCCCCTCCTCCAAAGTGAAGTCCTGATCTTTGCCACAGATAAAGACGCTAGCTACAGATCTGCGAGGTACAATATGATGATGCTCAAGTTTGGGGCTTTTGGCTGCCGAGAATATCTGTCCGAAGACAGGACTATGGTGTAAGTTTAGGAGGTGCCTGGCCTTTAAGAAAGTAGTCGAATTCGACTTTTGGCCCCACAGAATGTGGATGGAAGAAATCAACTGTTCGACTCTTTAATAATATCTTCTCTTGTCACCTTGTAACAGTGAGATTGTAATAATATTTATATCCGGTCAAAGGAGCTGAAATGATGTTGTCGGGCACGATTTCACACCTGCGTATCATTTTCTGCAGATAATGTGAAGCTCAAGGTCAGCCTCGGCCTCTATGCTTAACGTACCGAGTCAGAGGGTATATCGTGTTGTTTTGGACCCAGACCCATGTCCACCGTGTGGTGGACAGGGGTCTGGACATGACCAGACATAACTCAAAACCTGGATTGGATCTCAGATTTACGAACTCGTATCATAATTCCGCGCGCCTCAATGTCGATGTCCAGTATAACTTAGAACCCCTATAACTTATTTCGACCTATGATGCAAAACCTGTACGGCATAGTTTCCAGCAGGATGACGACGCGTTGAAAACAAGTTCTCAATCCGCCGCTCTCACTCAAACCATGAAAACGTTTTAATCTAATTTCCATGTTCGGTCAGAAAATCTAAATGGATTCAGGTTAGGACCAAATCTAATTTGCGACGAGAGGAAAATCATCGAAACATGGGACCAGAAGAAAATTGAGGATCTCGACAGGTCAAACAAGAAATACCTGTCTTGAATAGATATTCAGATCTCCAAAATTACGGCTGACAGAAATATTTCAAACTTCTTATAGTGACGACAGAGGCAACTTGTTAGCGAAAGAACAATATTTTCTTCAATGCTGATGCGATTCACCTGTCGAGATAGCATAGCATCGTGTACGGCTAAGGCTTTGGCTTCACGTTTTGTTGGACGAGACAATGTAGAGCCAAGATCTTACTAGCTCTTTGCCAGTTTCAAGCTCCAGATGTTTTCCCTCTAGATTCTACCTCAAGTCTTTTCTGTTTGTCCAAACGACTGGACCTGAAGGTCGCTGCCAGCGAGATGTCTAATAAATGTGGCATCTTCTATATGCATATGACCGTAGCATTTTCCATGGCCCTGGCCCGACCTGTTAGCTTGGTGTAATAACCCACTAAAGGCTAAAACTGTAATATAGTGGTAGAAAGGTCGAACCCGCAGGGACAGAGGAACACGCAGGGTACAAAGTGTCACATTTAACAGACTATTGAGGAGTTTGAATTCTCAGGCGACTGTCACTCCCAGATATACTGCAAGTGTCCACTCGGAGCGCACTCAGAGGTCGCACAGTGCAGCGTAACACACACACACACACACCTGAAACTTCAGAAACACAACCCAGAGATACGTCAGGACCTCTACTCAAGATTTCAGGGGGAAGGTCTCTCAAGAGTACACTCAGCGAAGCTGCGGGTAGTGACTCCCAACTCCGGCTTTTACAACGCTTTCACTAGCTTGCTGCTAGCATAGGAAACCCGGTTTGGACTACCTACTTCGGATCGAAGTCACTCATACGCGGTGAACAACACTCTCAACTCACAAAACGCGCAGAGAACACAGGTCCGCACCGAAGGACTCACTGAGAAACATTCCAGTAACACACCATAACAGTCTATTGAAGAGTTTGAATTCTCAGGCACTTGTCATTCCCAGAAATACTACAGGGGTTACCCCAAAGGCACCTGCTGCAGCGTAACCTGAATTTACAACCAAGTCTTACACGAAGTAGCAAAACTTCACTTTGGCATTCAGGGGAAAAATCCCGAAGGAGTACAATCAGGAACAAACACTCGAAGGTGTAGGGGCGAAACTATTCAAGTATCTAACTAGTCACTGGCTCTGAGCATCGGCAATCACCCGCAGGTGTAGATCCGAACTACTCAAGTCTCTAACCAATGTACTAGCTCTGAACATTCGGCCGAAGGCCTTCAGCTACACGATGCGGATCGCTAAGGTGTAGCTCCTCTTACGTGGTGACAGAACTAAGAACACAAACACGTAGAGAAAATGAGTTCTTGATCTGCACTTCTGATGTTGGGAAAGATCACAAGGCAAGACGCCTTGAACTACTTTATACCTTCTAAGTCCTAACTAGCACTACACTGCACTACGCCATGGTGCGAGCCGCAACAGATCCTACACCTGAGGAGTCGGCGGCTGCCTTCCCCTCTAACTTACAACCTAAATCTAACCCTAACCCTAAATCTGAATCCTAAGCCTATTGTACAGAGCCGCCAGCGCCTTTCCATCCAATATCTGAGGCTAAAAATTTTGCAGGCATGCGTGGCCGGCTGAGATCAATGGCCCCATCAAATTTCAGATCCATCCGATCGTCCATCGCAAAAATATGGGCCCCGCCGTTTTGCGTCCCACACTTGACATAATCCCGCCAACTTCCCCCATCGGGAATCTTCTGCCACGTGGCACCGAAGTCCCTTGAGCCGAAGTCAGATCTTCCGCCGGCTCCTTTCCTTTCCTGCGCTGCACCGGAGGTGAGTCTCGCCTATGCGTAGGCGCTCGCCTATGCGCAGGCAGTTTCCCGTCCGCATGGAGTCGCCCATCTATAACATGGGCGACTCCATGCGTAGACTTCTCTCGTCCGCGCATAGGACAAACTTTCCTCGCCTACTCGTAAGCGAGAAGCTGAGTATCTTGCGACCTTCATAACTCCCAGAGTCCTCATCCGTTCGTGGCGTTCTTGAGCTCGTTAGAAGCAGCGCGTCGAGCTCTTTCCAATGAGACCCTAATCAAGTCGAGGCGTTTCGAATTGAGAAAGTTATGAGGGATTCACTCTTCCGCCAAATGCACTCTCCCGCATCGCCGAAGGCGTTGACCCGAAGGCGAACATCTAGGGCCGAAAGCGTATATTCTGCCGATGGCGAAGTGTCTACGCGCAGGCGAATTCCTTCGGCCGAAGGCGGATTTCCCGGCGGACTTCCCGCCGACCTCGAACTCCTTCCGCCTATCCGTAGACGCTCTCCTTTGCATCTTTCGACAGTCACAACTCCCTAGGTACTCATCCGTTCCAAGCGTTCTTAGGCTCGTTAGAACGAGCATGTCCAGCTCTTTCCAACAAGACCCTATTCAAGTCAAGGCGTTGCGAATTGAGAAAGTTATGAGGGATTCACTGTTCCGCCGAATGCACTCTCCCGCATCGCCGAAGGCGTTGACCCGAAGGCGTCTACCGCCGAAGGCGCATCTTCCGGCGGTTCTTCCGCCGAAGGCGTACCGCCAAAGTCGCTCTACCGCCGAAGGCCCCCCATTAGTAACTTCCGACACTCATAACTTAGTGACCTCTCATCCGTTTCACAAGTTCTTGGGCTCGTTAGAACCAGCGCGTCGAGTTCTTTCTAACAAAACCCGAAGCAACTCAAAGCGTTTCGAATTGAGAAAGTTATGAGTGATCTACCGCCGAAGGTGCTCGAAGCGGATCTTGCAGCATGAACCGCCCGTTCCGTCCCAAGCGTCCCACTGTGGCCTAAGCCCAAAACCCCTTGACTGTCCTCGATCCTCTTTTTACTCTGGTTTCGTGTACGGATTACTATTTACAGCTGTTGCCGCTGTACTTACTATTCAAAAATGTTTTAGTTCCGACAAAAAACAAAAAGTGGGTTATCACACTTGGTGTAGACTAAGGAACATAATGTGAAGAGATGTCATCAGGTAGTGTCCACAGTAACTACCTCATGCGAAGTTTATGCAGAAATCTACTGTAAGCTAAAACTCTATTCAGTTGGCCTTCTTATCATGGAGTAGGTTACGTTACACAGTCAAAATTAGATGAGCGGGTTGCATTAGTGGGATTCGGATCCTGTTTGGATTAATGTAGCATGGAAGATTGATGATATAAAATGTTTCTTATATTACTGTTGTTCTACATCACAAATTGTATCTGCATTATTTAGATCTAAACGCACAGGGTAGTAATAATGTCCTCGCTGTGTGTTCTATATGAGAACATGGAGGGGAGGTACTCTGAGATGCAACTAGTTCTCTGGTAGATAAAACGAAGATGAAGAAGATGGCATATCATTCTAAACACATCGACTCAGGCTGCTTTTAATGGAAACCTGTACTGTAGTTACGAATTACCTGCTGGCTGCGACTGGGACGAAGGTCTCTATGACTAAACTGTGGGAAGGTGCACGTTTTATCAAGAGCAGATACTCCCATCGATTACAGTCAGCAATAAGACCCAGCTTCTTTGAGAATCTCTGTCAAAGATGTACTAGATTGCTAGTTCTCCGCCAACATTTCGGACCATATTTATTTATCGTGCAATTGTTTCTATGTATTGACTGGCGTTTAGATGCAATAAACTTTTTAATCAGTGTTGTATTACATAATCGGTGATTGAATGTGAGTTGCGATCATAATGAACCTGGACATTTTACGTGTGTATACATACATAAACAAATACATATGCATGGACTTGACAAGAGAAGCGTAAATTCCAATTCTACCGATGGAACAGTTACATCGACGTATGAAATACTAGGAAAGAACGACAAAAACGAAGTGGACGAGAGCTCAACCCTAACCCTCCGCGAAACAAGGAGCATATGTGTTTTGCGACTTTCTTCATAATCTA